TTTTCAAACAAGTTGGTAACAATGGTAATAAATACCTTTAACTTCTAAATATTCTTTCATCTGAGATGCCATAGCACTTTTCAAAAGTGAAATGATTCTGATGATACTGAAATTTCGGTATGGATTATTATCCTGGTGGTGGCAGCAATCAGAACAGAATAAGTAGTTTGCTCGTGTTGGTGGTAAAAAAATGAAACAGAATAAGGGCAGAAGTTGCTGCACATACAATGTGGGGGAAACTAAATCTTGTTCACTTGTAAATCTATGGTTCTCTGTGTTTAGTGCTGAGACGATGCTTAGCTTTTTTTCTGTCTTGACCATTACACTAGTTAGGGTTTTAAAGTTTTTTTTGATGTTGAGTATTCAAGGATAAATACAATTTTTATAGGAAACAGCTCCTTTGCAAACAAGAAATGTCCACGTTCAAGGATCAGTGACAAAACAAAAATGTTGGTGGCTGACAAAAATCAAGTGAATTCCCATTTCAAAGATCCAAGTGCCTCTTATTCTAGTAAGTAAGGCCACCCATGCTCCTGGTTACTTTGGGTAACTCCATGCAAGTTGGGTAAGAACATACTGGAAAAGGAGTATTTTCTGCTTAACTTCTCTACAGCTGGGATGTTAGACTACTGAAGTGTCATAGAACTGTCACACCCCTAACCAGCATTGCAGTCACTACATAAACTACAAGTTTTGATGAAAATCAAGGTGAATTGAGCACATTCTAAAAGATTTAATCTAGTGGGACTTGGTAGACTGAGCAGAAGCTTTTCGGCACATACACTTGCTTTGTGTGCTGATTTGATGGTGGTGCTGGAGCCCAGGGCTCAGCCAAGCTGAGTGAGAACAATTGGAGAGCACCATGCTGCGAGCTGGGCTGGGGAAGAAGCATCATCATACCAGAGAACCTGTGGTCCGTAACTCCCATGCTGTCTGCCCATTTTGCTGCCTACATCTGGACTGCAGACAAGGCCCAAAGCCTGCAGGGTTGGGGTGTGCTTGGCTCTGCCTTGTGTCCACCCAGACTGCATGAAGAGGTAGGTTGGAGCCTGCAAGACACAGGAGATGCTGTGGCCTGCTGTCGCCAGAGCCTGCTGGAGTTTACAGCAGGGTCACTGTTTAGATATTGTGTCTGAAGGGAGGGAACACAGACAGTGAGCAAGCCCGGTCTTGTGACAAGCCTCAAACCAAGCTTAATGAGCCAAGCGAGAGACCTTCTCTGTGTCACTGTGCCTTGAAGTAGCTGAGAAAATAGCTCTGAAAGCACAGCTGATATCAACACCCTTATACCAGGTAAGCTTTGCACATCTCACATCCAGGAACAGGCCACCAGCAGACATTAATGGGTGATGGAGGAAGATCTAGCCATTCCCCCATGAGGTTTTGAGAGTACCAGGCTCTGCTGTACCCTGTCCAAACCCACAGATTACTTTATGGTCCTCAGCATGCTTGGGGCTTTAGTTTAATTTTGGTACTAGTTTAATTTTGGTACTAGTTTAACAGGAAGAGGTAGGAAAAGTGGTGCAGATCTTAACCACCCAGTGAAATGTTTCCTATTACTTTTCAGCAGGTATTAAGGAATCCATTTGGATATCCTAATAACTGAAAAACATCCTCTGTTTCCCAGTGGTGTGGGGATACTTTTGGATTTTCTACTCTGATGGCAATTATCTCAGTGGAATAGCAGTTTCCCCCCTCCCATCTGTGCTCTGCACTGAAACAAAGAGGAAACTGGTGTCTTCTTGTTTTACGCAGCTTGACCCCCAGCCTGCAATTTTTATGATTTGTGTGGTAGTGAAAGGCAAAGAAAGGGGGAAAAAAGCAAGAGCACAAGGAAGACAAGGAGAAAGAAGCTTCATTTTTCCCAAGCTGCCCTAGCACTGACCGCAGCTCAGCTAGGGCTGATTTGTGGCCATCGAGTAAGCGAACACAAAGGCATCAGGGAAAAGGCACAAAAGGCTCTCCTTAGAGATTGACAGCTTGTTAAGGACCATTATTAATACAAGTTCAACTTAAATGACAGGGTCACCTATATGATGCTGTTTGGGCTCCTTGCCCTGGTCTAATAGCATCTTGCCACATTTTTATTCAGTGTTTGTCTGATAGGCACATAACCCTGAATTAACCAACATTTATCCTCAGTTATCTGAATTTATAGGCTCTGTACTAACTCAACAGTGACTGAAAGGGCACCACACTCACCGCTGTCCTTCCTCATCTTTAATGGAAGGAGGAATCACTTGGGTAAGAATCTTTTTTTTTTTGTTTGAACTTGAAAAGCCTCATTTCATTAAGCAAATGAAATAAATTAGTGGCAAAGGACTACATGTGAGATATTACAGTGGTCTATATGTTAAAGGCATTTTTGCAGACATCTAGTGTAACGGCTGTGTCATAGGATTCTTCAATCCAGGATGACTGCTCTTCTGCAGGACCTGACAAATGAAGGATCCATTCTTCACCTCCAAAATAGTAGGACCATGGCTTAAAAGAAGATAATTTACCAAGACAGGGTGAAATAGCTTAGTTTAATGTTTGTTGATGTTAATTTGTTCCTTACAAGATGGCTATCTAATTAACGCTATTTCACTACCTCTTTTTTGGGAAGAACCTTAATAAGACCATTTCAGAGAAGCTTCAATTAAATTAGATATTAACATTTTGAAATATTATAGATGAAATTTGTATGGGAGAGATAAAGAAAGGAAAAATGCATGTTTTTCAAGCAGTGTAGTCTTATTATTTGGTTATCAGAAGCCTCCCTACTGACAATTTCTGCTAAAGAGCAAAATATTAAGGACAATTTTTTTTCTGCCAGAAACAACCAAAAAAGAATGACTGAACTTAATATACACCTTCAGCTTCTGGTATTGCTGGTCCATGATACTCCATTGTTTCCCAGCAGTATCCCAGGAAGGAGGCATAAAGGGAATGGAAAGTTAAGGGTAAGACGACCTACTCCACCTCCTTCCCACGTTTTCCCTCTCTTCTTGGCTGTGCAGCCTCTGTTTCCTGCACATCAATAGCAGCAAAGGACTGCTAAACTTAAACAGCCTGCCCTGGAATTTTACAGTCCTTCAGATTTTGCATGAAAGTCATCCTTTTTGTAAGATAACCACTACTTTTGTCCTTCAGAAACCAATACTAATTTGAATAAATGGTAAAAAATAGTGACAAGGCAAAGACAAAAAATAAATAAAAGGCTCAGCAGATGTAAATCAGAATGAATCTATTGACTTCAGTGGAGCTACCCGAGTGTGGGCAAACTGAAGTTTTCATCACTGTTATCACTGAGGATGTGGCATTTGGGAGAAGTTTTAGCTGCAACAATTTATTTTATTACCTTTTTCCTGCTTAGCCCATACATACTTGGCATTTTATTGTCATCTCCTCTGCAACAGTCAAGCTTTTTCTCTTGTAGGTGTTAAAATTAAGCATCATGCAATTTTAACACTGGTCTGCGTAGCAGGAGAGGCTATTGGCGTCTTGTGACTCTTCCATGATGTTAAAAGAAAGTTGAAGAAACCAGGGCAATTTGGTCAAATAAAAAAAAAAAAAAAAAAAAGATTGTGTGAGTTTAAGTCTGCTCAGGGGCAACCTTAATTTATGTGCCAATAAGTTACACAAATATTTTCTCTACTATTCAATTAAGAACAAGTAGTTTCCTTGGCAACGGCCACATTACATGGAACTTACCCGAGCTCCAAGATCCAGCAGAGTACTTTCCCTAAGAAAGGAACATACTCATCTATCATGTAAATGTCTAATTTGTACACGGTTTTGAGAGAGAGGGGAGAAAATGGAATTTCCGGCAAATTAACAAAGCCCTTCTCTTTCACTGGAGTCAGATCCATGCTCTTTTCAGTAGTTTTCTCCCACTTTCTTCTTATATCCCAATGATAACCTGTCTATGAAAGTTGTAAAAAAGTAGGATGGTGAGCTGGGTGGATTAAAAACAGTAAAAGGCAGGCAGGCTACTGTTGTAAAGGACTGCTGGGGGGGTCTGGTTTAAAAGCAGGAAGGTGGCAGTCTTCTTCCATGCAGAGTTGCTACTGAAGGTGTGCTCTGTGGTTCAGTTGTGATGGTGGTGATTGATTAGTCCTTTTGTGGGCAAAAATAAAGGATCCCAGCCTGATTACACATCAAATTGCTATTTCCTTTTAAACTATCACCTTTCTTGGTGTTGCAATTACTCTGACCCATAACCCTTGCCAGGCTCTTTGTATGCAGGTGTTTTCAGAGGTGTGTGGGCAGTGCGTACGTGGAAGCAAGCTGGTGATCTGCATGTCTATCACTATGACACAAGTCCTTTCGCACACCTGAGGTGTTCCCCAGAACAAACGGAACAGCTGCCATCGTAGCCAAGCCTAAACACCACTGTTGGGTGTGCAGCTCTGTAGCAAGTGGGGAGCCTGCCACACCTTCACCTTGGAGGGAGTGCCTTGCTTCCTTTCCATATGCTCCTGCTTTCTTCCCAGTGAAAGCTGGGACCAGCCTCCCCAGGAAAGTCCTGGCTCTGCTCTGCAATTTGCACAGCCCTGCCATGGAAAATGGATTTCAATTTTGTCAGATTTAATCCCCAAGAAAATGTTTTTGCAAAACTGAATAAAATCTGTCCTACTGCTTTCATCCTGTGGATTACATTACATCCATAAGTCAATTTAAGGTTTTTGAGATGTTCCACAGCTTTTTCTCCCATACTTGAAACTTTCTAGAGCACGAAGCTGGAATTTGTTCTTTTGAGCTATTTGCAGCCCTCTGCTCTTAGAAAAAGACTCTCATTAGTGACTCTTCAGACTTGTACACTCTTTGAAATCACAGGTACTCCCTGTTTCTAAAAATCACATGAAGACAGGATTCTTTCCATTCCCTCTGTGTTAGTGGGAATTCTGCCGTGAAGTTAAACAGTGGCAGAATGGTGCCTGTTCCACTTTCCTCCCATCTGCCTGTTTACATTTGTTCAATTAACACAGAAACTAAAGGAATCAGTTAAATCATACCTTTTATCCTTTGCACACCCAAGTTCATATAGGATTATTTAACAGACTTCTTATGGTAGCACTTTTCCTATTGAACCACATTCTGCTTTGAAGGAAGAGCAATTCAGAGCAGCTTTGCAAAATTTGTTTCTTGCAGTTAGCAGTTAGATTAATTATTTCCTGTTTTACCAGTCCCTAAGGTACCAAAACCCAGACACAATATGTAATTACACTGCTCCAATTCCAGGTCAGTGTGAAGGTGTGACTGTGATGAAATACATGTTTCTTCTTACTTAATAAAATGTTCAGGGCTGGCTACGTGGTGGCTAATATTAAGACTTAAGTCATAATTTATCTCCTGTAAGTGCCTGAGCATTGTAAATGATGCGACAGATAAACACATTCTCATCATGTAGTGGCCGTATCTAGTTCTGCTCCCCACCCATCCCTCCCGGCATTTAATTGCACCCATCCTTCAGTCAGCCCTATCTCCCCCTTAATTACATTCTGCAACATATTCATTTCTCTAGCTGCTTTGGAGGCTGGGAAATGAAAAGTCACTGCAAAGTCACCTCATCTGTGAGCAGACAGAATGGGGTGAGACAGGAAACACAGGTCACTGCCTGTTGCTGTGGGTGCAGACAAGGTCTGATTTTTCTTTTGTCCAATGGGAGCTGACACATTTTTGCTAACTTGGGGGTATTTTTTCCTTTCCCTGCTAATTCCAGTGAGAATCCAGTGTAAACTGGGATTTCACTAGCTAAGGAGGTGTGTGAATCTTTCCCTCATTCTCTGAGGTAAAGGCAACCCAGGATTGGTATTGGGACTTGCAATTAGTGTATTTGCCTGAATGTGTGAGAGTGTGTAATTCCCTGGTATTGTAATGGTGCTGGTACCTGGTCTATTCAACAAACACAGTATTGTGATGTTATGCCAAAAAGAAATATCTTCCAGGACCCATTTTAAAATAGATACTAAATATTTCTCTGCCACCTTCCAGTTAAATTCTTTCGTAGCATCACTGGGAGCTCATAATAAACCTGGTTTGTCTCTTCAGTTACTAAACTCATAGAGCTCTGAGCTATTCAGCCATGCCAGTCTCATAAATCTGGACATATTTTTTAATGAAAATTGCTCTGACATACTGTAAAGTCTCCTTCCTTCAGGTCATATAATACTCCAGGCCACAACACTGAACATATTGAGCAATATCATAGAAAATTATTTCCACACCCCTTTCATACACTATCTATTTTTAAAAACAAAAGTTATTGTTAGGCAGCAAAAAGATGAGATAGAAACCATCCCTGTGTGTAATGAGGTCGCTAAAATGGCACACGCACAAAATAAAAATCCCTTTAACATTACCCATCAAGGAAACTGTAATTTAAAAGTTTGGGGTGATGAAAAGAAGTATTTTCTGAAAAGCAGAGGAACACCTGTATGTCTCACGATATAGGCAACGCAAAGTCTGCTCACCTGTGGTCAAGTCATGTCCAGCTATGCTGGCATCTCTAATGCTGTTCAGAGACAGTGGACAGCAGACCATGCATATAGTAAGATTCAGTTACCCAGTGCTGGAGAACTAAACCCGTATATGGACACACTGAAGACAATCACTCCTCTACAGTCTTCAGCAAAGTACAAGATTTTATTTGAATCACAGCAGAATAATAATTTACAATTGTTTTCACCTTGGTTTATGATGCCTTTCCTACTAAAAATGCGATGTTAGGAAGAATGTGAAGGATGAGAGAAGGTCTGAAATGAGCTCAGGATCACTTATATGAAAACTAGTATTTGAAAGATGACCTTTCAGGTCTGATTCTGAGCCCTCTGCTGTCAGTGGGAGTCTCTCCCTTATTTTGAAGAACCCCCTTGAAACACTGAAATGCTGAAGCATCTCAAAAGACGCGTGTGCCACAAGCACAAAAACAGTGCTTGTCTTTACCATTAATCACTTCCTCTTAAACTTTGTTTTCTAAGGAAGGGAAGTAGTGTGTAATTATTTATTTTGCTGATAGAGTTGAACAGGTGACTTAACATGCTCGTTGAGCCTGCACTAATTATTCGGCTGCCTAATACACTACATCTCTCTATTTTCAAGACAGTTTACTGTGCCAATTCTCTTTGATGTGGTCTTCATGAGTACAGAAAGCCCAGACAGCAACCCACAACTTGATCTACTAGCTGTAAAAGGAAACTTTTTGGAACAAGTTCCTTAAGCCTGACAATGACTGCATTGATCACATTATTGAGAACAGGAGCCTGCTCTTTCACATTCACAGAAATAATGGGAAAGTGGTGCATAGGTAAGAAGTTACACACAGAAACAGAAAGACAAATGAGCTTTTCATCCTCTTCTGTTCTGGAGCAAGCTATTTCCTTCATACAAATATCATGGAAAATGCCTCCCCAAGTCACTTCACCACCCTATTGCATTTTTTGTTGCAGCGGCAATGATGTAACTGAGAGCTGAGATTGGTACAATGTGCTTTGTTCAGCCATCTGCCAAATTTAATGAAGTGATAGGGAATCTTTTAAGCTGGATTTGGCTTGCATCGTATGATTAAATGGGGGAAGTGCCCCTATTATGTGTTAGATGTGCTTCTGGGTAAAGATCAGGTCTGCTCGGTTGCTGAATTAAGGGTATTTTACCTTTTGACCCCAGATCCAATAAAAAAGATCAGAATTATTTTGTGTCCCTTTCATTTTGATGGCAAGAAGCCAAATTCCCTGCATTCCTTATTTTTACTTAATTTCCTTTATCTTTTGACTTCTCCTGACTTCTATAATTTTGAATTGGCCTTTTTTGATTCAATGAGAAAGACCATTTGTTCCAGAAACAAACAGGCATGAAGATCTATGCCTCTGCTAGCCACCTGGAACCAGCAGAAACAGGTTTCTTACTGGAATTTCCTCTTGCAGTGTGCAAGCCAATACGCTTTATCTGAATGCTGTTGCTTCAGAGACTTGTGGAGGCAAAGGTGCAATATTAACAATCTCTTCTACTTTTGGGTGACAGCTCAGAACCTCCTCAGGGCAGAATTCTTTGCTATTTTAGCAATACTGGAAGGAGAGTGTGGTGCAGGAAAAACTCAGACCCGAGGAAGAACCTATTGCATTGTGTTATTGCAATGACAGGATCTGAAATCCTCAGATGAGATCATAGCCCTGTTTTGATAGGTATTGTAGAAACACAGAGTAAGAGATACGGCCTTCGGGGTTTCACTGTCTGATCAGGAGAGGCACAGATACCAAGTGGATGTGGATTTAAATTTAGATTCAGTTTTCACACTGGAAACATGGCAAAGACACAGCTGGAAAAGATGAAGACGTTTGTTGGTGTTACATGGAAGTTTCTGACAGAACGGGGAGATTTTCTGGACCTCCAGCCTTCCACGCAGACCATAAGAAAGTCTTTGCTGTTGTGGTGATGCCAGAATTGCTGTCCACAGGTGGACAGACTGTGGGACATACTGCAGACACTATGTGTGCAAAGCAAAGCCCTTGGCACTTGAAGCTCTCTTTACAGTGATGTTTTATTACTTGGGGAAAGGACTGGGGGACATTTTAATCAGGGGAGGACAACCTGGTGAGCAGTCGTTATCAGATTTCATCAAAAAATTTTGCTTGTGCCATAAAGGAGTACAACTGGTATGACAGGACTTCAGTGGAATAGAAGCACTGCCACACAATGTTCCTTGTTTACAGTTATGCAGCTGGTATGATGGGTCTTTTGCTGCATTTTGGGGGCTCAGTGTCTCAGCAGTGTTGTGCTGTTCTGACTGCTACTGCTGCTGCTAGCAGCTAGGCTTTTTGCTTCCCTGGACTTCATCTTGTCCAGAGCTGCATAAAGAAGCCTCAGACTGGACAGATTTATGTTTTTTTCTGTTATTCAAGATAGTGAAAACAATGATCTTGTAGGGTGTTTCTCTTCCCTACATGACAGTTTCGTCATAAACTTTTCCTTGGACTTGATGGGCATAAGGATTCCCAAGCATAGATACGGCACTGGTATTTCTCAGGCTAATGACAAAGTGGCAATGGCAGCAATGCCATACGAGGTAATATTTGAGAAGGAAGCATCAGAGTTTAATGTGGAAAATAAAAGCTCTGGGGAGTGTCCCCTACGAGTTCATTATACCCAGCTATAAACCCATACTGCTCCTGATTCTCTTTGTTTGGGTTTCATATTTTCATATTTTTTTTATTTGCTTGTTTACATGTGTAACCATTAGCTGTTGCATAAAAATATGTTGTTACTCCATTTATGTTGTAATTCATTGTAATGCATAAGAAAAGACAGAATCCTTTGGCATCCCTATAGTCTAACACATAAACACACAGTACATGGACTCTCTTACCCTAAGGGCTAGCAGTAAAACAGCCTATTGTCTCCTTTGAAGTCCTTCCATATATCTGTATATATGTATATGTATAAAATTATAAAAAAGATCCTTTATAATCTGCATTCTTATGAAGTGGATTGGTACACACACTGTTCTCTCTTAGGAGAAAATGATTAATTTACAAGCGCAATCTCATTTTAAATGTGAATATTCCCAAAGGCTTTTATTTTTAACCATGTTCAGATGTTTCAGGCTACCTTAGAGAGAGGACATTGTCAACAATTAGGGCAAGAGGAAACCAAGGTCGGAGTATAAGGAATTTGGGGGTTTTGTTTCACTCCTACATTGGTAATTTAATTTAAAATTTGTTTATACTAATTGTAGACATATCTGAAACAAAATTTCAGCACAGAGCATTTTTCACAAAGAAAGTATGAGAGCTTATAATGGAAATTCTGGACAAGTACCTCTAAGCTCCACTCAGAGAGAAAGGACCATGTAAGGGGAAGGTGGAGAATACAGGAAAACAGAACTCCTTGCCACGTTTTTTGGATTTTCTCTGTCTCAGGTTTCTGTATCAAGGATAATCCCTTGGAGTGCTGTGAAAATTGGATACTGATGGTGAAATTTCCATGACTGCTTAGAGCAGTTACATGCTTCAGTCCCACTGACCATAATACAAATTAGACATTTAAATCCTTGAAGTGCTTTTGAGAAATTGATACTGAAACGTACACAGACGTTACAAGTTCAACTCCAGATTGCTTTGTGACTACTGGGAAAGCA